CTCAGACAGGTTGGAAGAGACTCAGCAGCTGAAGAGGGAACCAGCAAGGAGAGAAGCTGAACTGAGGGAGGTGAAAGGGCTCAGACAGGTTGGAAGAGACTCAGCAGCTGAAGAGGAAACCAGCAGGGGAGAGAAGCTGAACTGAGGGAAAGGGAGCTGGGGGATGGCTCAGAGATACTTCCAGCGAAAACAGTGGTGAGGTTTCCGGACCTCCTGTAGGGACACCCACTCCTCGCCGGAAACTGTCACGCAGAGAGTCCAGAAGACGTGTTTCCGTTAAGGAGCTTTTATGTTGGAAGCGCATACGAAAGCAACCACTGTCGGAATCTTCTAGTGACTAGAGGAGCCATGTCAGAGGGGCTCAGTCACAGACAGAGGTTTGTGGACTTGAACAAACTCTGAGGGAATACGATTTTACGCACAAGCAGCTCATCTTCCCATCACAGTTCCTTAGGATCAGCCATTGCAGAGTTGCAGAGCATCTGAAATCCCAGAGAGCCCTTACTAGTAGACAATACTGAGCTATATGGACCAATTGACTGGCTTGGTATAAAATAGCTGTCTCTTTTCCTGCGGCAATAGATATCACAGACTGCCCTCCCCCAACAAATATGTTTTCCTATGTTTGTTGACCCTCTCCCCTATTGACTGACTGACTAGATTTAAATCTTTCTATATGAGTTTTCTCCATCCCTTTCCCTATGTTGTAGCAACTGCTCTCTCTCTTGTTCTGCACTGTCTACTGATACTTACAGATTCTGAGCCGGCAAGTCAGCTTCTTGCAGTCCTGTGTGGCAGGAACTTTGTGTTTGTTTTCTTCAAGGTCCATCTGTGTATTTTACAATAGTTCCAGATTCACACGCCTCTCCATTTGTATGGGAACGATCCCAAAATCTTCTCCCCTCTCGCTCATCCTTGTCTATTCCCCAGCCTAGTACATGAACAAAAAGTGGCACTCCTTTTTGGGGAGGACTCATTAAAAAAAATGTGACTGCTGCTGTCGCTGAAAGGTTGGCATTAGAATTGCGGAAGGATCCCTCCCTCCCTCTTTTTTACTACTGGAGAGGGAGAGAGGGATGACAGGTGGTCTAAATCCAGGCCCAAATTCCCCTTCCTTTCAAAAATCATTTCTTTTCTAGACACTTACATTCTCCTACGGAATATGGAAAGGACATTAACACAGACTGTAGCCTAATAAGACAATAATGCCTTTTATGTTGCCTTCCCCCACTTGGACAGCTTCCACTGTAGCCCTGAGGTACGCTCCGGGCGAAAACATTGTCAGGTGGAACAGAAGATTGGAGATGGAAAAGGGAGAAGAAAATCTTGTCTTGCCCTTGATTGTATTCCCACCCATTATGCCAAATCCCACTCAGAGATCTCTCTTGCATGCTGTTGGAGTGCCTGAGCATGGATTTGCTGCCTGCCCCCCCCTTCCCATGCTGCCTGCATGTTTTAGAAAGTATTCCACTTCAAGAATAAAACAGTAGTTGCTACCAGGAATCCAAACATTCCTGGCTGATTGACAGAAGGCCACCCATAGTCCTCTTTGTTTGGCGCAGACAACACATCTTCAACAGCTAGGTGTTTTTATCTTTTCGGCATGCACATATTTTCAGCGGGTCTGGGTACGGTAAAGATAAGGACGTACATTCAGCCTGTTTGCATAATAAACAACTGTGTTAGCCAAGGTCTAAGTATTATTCTGAGCTGCTGTCATTTCTGGTTGTTGGTTTCTAAGTGGTTTTAATTGTAGCAATGTTTTCTTATGTCAAATATGTTGTTTTTATGTACTGTGCCAGAAACTGCCCTGTGACTACCTTTAGTATGGTCTAAAAGTTCTGTAAACAATTAAAATTTATATAGCATATTTCAGTTATTAAAAAGCCACCCCATAAACTCTAATCAAAATATATGTTTTCAGGGATGGCAAAATCTGTTAATTTTGATTCTCCCGGTTTCTCATTTTTCCAAGCTTAAATCAAGTTCTTCACATTTCTTCAGCAATTTGCACTCAGCCCCCCTTGTAAAAAAAACCAAAAACAAAACTCATAAAAATCTATCAAGATTTTAGTGCAAACATGTTCCGTCTCTCTAGCCCCACATCAGGTAAAATCCTTCACATCTGGTTTCCAGGTAGGTGGGTTTCCTAGCGAGAAAAAGGTCAATGGATGGTGGTGATCTTTCCAACACCCCAGCCTGTGCTGGTGATCCACCAAGTAAAAATATAAGAGCATAAAAAGAGCCTGTTGGGTCAGGCCAATGGCCCATCTAGTCCAGCATCCTGTTCTTACAAGGGTGAACCAGAAGCCCGTGAGAAACCTGCATGCAGGACCTGAATGGAAGAGCAGTCTCCCCTCCTGAGGTTTCCAGCAAATGGTATTCAGAAGCATACTGCCTTTGACTGTGGAAGCAGAGCACGGCAATCATGGTTAGCCACTGATTGCCTTATCCTCCATGAATTTGTCTAATCCTCTTTTAAAGCCATCCAAGCTGGTGGCCATCGCTGCCTCCTATGGGAATGGGTTCCACAGTTCAGCTTTGTGCTGCATGAAGAGGTCCTTCCTTCAGCCACCATTCAGCTTCATGGATGTCCACAAGTTCTAGTCTAGTGCTATAAGAAAGGGAGAAAACCTTTCTCTAACTGTGCCATATGCAATTTTATAGAAGAGGAGTGGGGCATTAACACTACCATAATACCATTTGGGCTTGTCTCGGTCTTCTGCCTATCTTCACTGCAAACCTTTTTACACTTTTATGTAGCAAACCACTTTGATATTTTTTAAAAAATATTTAGCTGTATATAAACATTTTTACAAATAAATAAAATAAGGCAAAGCATTGTGGGCTTAAGGCTGAACTCGGTTACAAACTGAAAGCTAAATTTTGTTCTGCTCGATAACAAAATAAAGCAAAATGAAATAAAAACAAGCCAAAGTTTATTTTCCAAAATTTTGCTTTAATTTTATCCAAGTTCAATTATTGCTAGTTGGCATATAGTCCTGCCTGTACTGTAGCCGTAGCTCTTCCAAGGTCCAGTAGGCAACACACTAATAATTTTGTTCAAGAAACATCAAGGAAAGCAAAATAGACCAGAGTAGAGGCAAGCATGAGCCCTTTTCTTAGGAATTGCCATATTTTTTTCATTTACTTTTTACAAAGCTTCTAAATTCATTGCAATCCTGTGTTCCCTCTGCTGTCCTTGCACATTTCCACCAGATCTAATTTGTCGTTGGGTTTTTGGGGGTGGTAGTGGGGGAGGGATGTAATCAAATGCTGTTGTTGTACTTCCCTATCGAATGTCACCAACAAAGTATCATTAAGGCCATACAGGGTTCCTATGCCTTTAAATTAAACACTTCCTCTTTGCAGGTTCAGCCCATTTTCTTGCTGCTTGTTTTTCTTGGCTTTGGAATTGATGCTGAGTTGTCTCTTATTTGCCCCCTTAACAGCCTCTTTGAATTGCCCCAGTTTCAGCTCCCCTGGGATGGAGGGAAATCGAGTTCCTTAAAAAAGAGAGAGAGAGCAAAATGTGCGATTTGTTATTTAAAAAGAAATGGTAAAAATGAAAATTACTTGTAAGCACACGATCCACTTGCACAGACTTCACAGCCCACTTGTGGGTTGCAACCCATAGTTGGGGAATTGCGGAGTTATATATGATCAGGTGAGCTGGTGGCTCTCAGCAGGTCCAAGCCAGTTGCGTACCCACCAGCCTGATCACATGCATTTCACACTATGAACTGAACTGTGATTCAGTAGTGGTCCTCCAGATGTTGCAGGACTCCAACTCCCATCAGCCCCAGCCAGCATGGTTGAAAGTCAGGGGTGATGGGAGTTGTAGTCCAAAACATCTGTGGCTCTCACCGCCCTGCTTTAGTGAAGCTAGGCTCTTTATAGATACATTACTACTGCTACTACTACTACACTTTGGTTTAGCTAGTTTAGTCTAGGGTCAGATTTTAACCCATCTTGGAGCGCAAGGAAGTGAAGACATGATATGGAAAAGGATGTGATTAAATTTAGCAGCAGCAAGGAGGCAGGGCATGGATGTAGTGACTTGAGTGGGAGCCAGCAGTAGCAGCGAAAGCCTCGGAGGAGAAACCGCAAAGTCTCCATGCAGCTGCTGCAGCTCAATGCCCGGCATTCATGGTGTGGCTTCACGAAACTGCCTTGTGACATTTTTATTTATGTCAGTGACAGAGTAGCATTGTTGGTGGTAGGAAAGGGGCTGGTCTCCCAAGGCTTAGAAAATGCTCTCTGGGTGTCTGTTTAAAGGTGTTTTTGTCCCCCAACATGCATAATAGCTTAGAGAACGTATAGGCACTGATTGGCTCACTTATTTATTTACTTATTTATTTATTTGTTCATTCATTCATTCACACACACACACACACACACACACATGCATAGCCCTGTCTCACTTCTGAAAGCTTGGGTTGGCTTCTACATGGACAATCCGCAAGCCACATGTGGCCCTCATCTGTCCTCCATGTAACCTCCCACTGTTGCACCCACTGCTGATTTTGCTGCTGCTTTGGTGGCAGTCTCCAATTTTGCCACTGCTGCTGACAGATTGCCCTGACTACCACCAGCAGATTGCTCAGTCTGCTGCCGCAAAGCTTGCCATTCCTGCCTTTCTGTCTGCCTCCCCTGCTCGCTAATCTAGTCTGGCTTTTCCTGCTTCTGACTTCAAAACACACTTGGCTGGTGCTTTGCCTGCCATGTTCTATGCCTAGCACTGAGGTTGACAGCATGTGAGGAAGGTCATCCTTGCCCCCTTTTGACTTGAGCTTCCACTCATCTTTCAAACTGCTGTGCCTTCCAATCATGCTAACTCCCGTTTTCCTCTAGTTGTCCCCTTGTAAACTATCCCTCTAACCATCCAACTGCCCTATTCAGGTAAAGGTAAAGGGACCCCTGACCATTAGGTCCAGTCGTGGCCGACTCTGGGGTTGCGGCGCTCATCTCACTTTATTGGCCAAGGGAGCCGGTGTACAGCTTCCGGGTCATGTGACCAGCATGACTAAGCCGCTTCTGGCGAACCAGAGCAGCACACGGAAATGCTGTTTACCTTCCCACCGGAGCGGTACCTATTTTTTTTTTTTTTTAAAACAAACTCTCTTTTATATTCCCAATTTTAAATTACTTATTTTCTGGACTTCCTCATACCTCCCTCTTTTGTATTCCAATCTAGATTATTTGTCCAGCAGTTTCTTTTCCACTTTTTTAAACCCAATCTTTAATTTAATGAAATATTAAACTATATAACTTTTTTAAACATAATCCTTGTTCTTAATGTCATATACCTTTAAATTTTTCCCTTTTATTATCAAATTTCCATTTCTTTAAACATCTTTAATCTTAATCTTTAATCTTAATCTATCCTTAGCTTTAACCTGTTCAGCTGGAAACCACTTGTTTTCAATCCAACATCACTTTAACATTCCTTAATTTTACAGTGTTTCTGAAGATAGTCTTTGAATTTCTTCCAATCTTCCTCCATCGACTCTTCTCCCTGGTCACGGATTCTACCATGGAGCGGTACCTATTTATCTACTTGCACTTTGACGTGCTTTTGAACTGCTAGCTTGGCAGGAGCAGGGACTGAGCAACGGGAGCTCACCCCGTCTCAGGGATTTGAACCACCGACCTTCTGATTGGCAAGTCCTAGGCCCTGTGGTTTAACCCACAGCGCCACCCGCGTCCCCCTATTCAGGTAGTGTCCTGAATTAATGTGTGTCTGGGGAATGGGGGCTGCTCAGCCCCTCACCTACACTGAATGCTTATACTCATTGAGGCCTCTGCCCAGGTTACCAGGAATCCTGACAGCAAACAGGTCCCTGATTGCATAGGCCAACCCCACATGTGCAGCTGTATGTGTGGGTTCCATTCCTGCATTCAGTTATGTAAGGGGCAGAGCCAGTCATCTTCCTTATGCAGTGTGCAATCTGGAAGCGGATACGTAACCAGTGAAGTAAAAACAGCATCCTGTTCCTTCACCACAGGCCACAAATATAGGACCTGAATGAGATTTGTGGCTGTTGGATCTGTTCTGCTGTTGCCATCATACAATCAGCTTGATTGTCTGAACAGACAAGACTGCAGGATTTCCCATCTCCAAGCTACCTAATTATTTTACAATACCATGTGAGGGTACGAAGGAAGTCTTTCCTCATCGTTATGGATTCAAATAAATATTATACAAGAGCAATATCTCGTGGTGTTTTCAGTGGCAGTGGCTCATTTGGCACCACCAAATTTCCCCCCTTTTGTTATGGTCCTCCTACATTTCTTTTTAAAGACACCATTATTTTCATAGTAGATGCTCAGAAAGGCGTAAGTTAAAAAGAAGTTTGAGCGTGTAATGAAACATGAGAGAGAGAAACTGCTGGCACTGGTTCCTGTTCCTGAAGTCAAGAGGGTGGCAGGAGTAAATCTGAACCAACAACGTACCAGATTGTTATGAGTCAGAGGGGAAAGATGGTTATGAATCAGAGAGAAAAATGACTGCGTATCTTAAATCTCAGGGTTTTCTATGACATCAAACACATTGACTCTGGATTTTAGCTTCTCAAACATTGTGGGCGTTTGCTACTTGCCTCTTAATAATGGTAGTCAGGTGTGAGTACAGATATTTGCTGCCCAAGAGATTCCAGGAGTTTGGGGAGGCGTGTACCTCATGTTTGTGACTGAGCATCCACCCACAATTGTTTGCATTTGAACAATTTTCAAAGTTAATGGCAAGTAGTTTAGGTTACTACGCAAACTGTGCCCTTTCGTGGAGAGGGATAGTTTAGTCACTGTGATGCATGTGTTGGTAGCCTCACAATTTGACTTCTGCAACATGCAGTATGTGGTGCTTCCCTTGAAATTGTTGCAGAAGCTGCAGCTGCTGTAGAGTGTTGCAGCTGAACCAAGTGGGATTTACTTCTGAGTAAGACATTATGGTTATATTTATTTCTGCCTTTTATTACAGATGACCTCAGGGTGTATCACAACAATTTGAAATACAATAAACATTACTTTGAAGTACAACTGAAACCAGTAGTGGGTGGTGGGGTGGGGGACAACACTCATATCAACTCCCAGCAGCTGAGTCACTGCTACTTACAGAGGAGAGGTCAGCTGGGTTCTTTCTGCTCCTGCTGGTAGCTGCCTGCTTCTGGTTAAAACATTTAGCACAATCCAATGTGTAGGATTGCACTGTAAATGATTTTTATCTTGCCTTTCCACCAAAATAACCTTCCAGGTGGCCCCATTAAAGATTGCACGAATTTAAACAGTGTAAAATAGCCATAACGAATAAGCTTATTTAATGGCTTAAATAGATGAAACCACCCTTTGTAATGGTCACAAAACAAGCTATTTTCTCTTTCCTAAATGGGAAATTTATGTGTGATTTGCAGTGTGTTCATTGCAAACTGAAGATCTCCTGTGGTCACGAGTTTCTGTTTGTTGATCATATAGCTTATTTTCTGTACTTTGCATTTATGTTGTTCCTCCCCTTGGCTGAGAATGCCTTCCGCTCATCTAAAGCTATATGATCTCGATGATAGCTTGCAAGATCCTAATCTGCTGATATCAAAGGCCGGAGTTTATTCCCTGTTGTTTGTGCAGAGGAATTATTTAACAAGGAATCCTTGTAAGTGTGAACATCATACATAAAACGACATAACACTTGGGGGAAAATAAGAACTAAGCCAATATTTCCACACCAGCTTCAAAGCTTAACATACTTCCATATACAGATGCTTTTTATTTCTCATCTGTGGCTTCTGTCCCTCCTAATTGAATCTGACACCAGAAACATAAGTTCTCCTCCTCCTCCTGATTATGTTTTGACTGGAATGTTAAATACAGCAATCCCTCATTACAAAACTCTGTTAACTGTATTCTAAAACAGCACATGATTTACAATCGCCGTGCTTTACATCTATTGCCCTTATCTTATATAAGAGTAATTGTGCCTTCCCTCCAATCTCTGCCACATCTTTTCTTACCTATTTACACAATTTGTGAACTGCTTTGTATCTGAGAAAGAAATTCAAAACTATGCATAAAAAGCTTTTCGTTCAACAATAAGCAATGTAAAAAGGCAAACAATATTTTCAACCTGATGATTCAGTATGGCTGAGTTCTCACCCCTCTGAGGAAGCTTGTCTACAGAAGAATCTTTCCACCATGGTCTGAAAAACCAGCAAGTCTGGTGCCTAATTTGTACAGGGAGGCAATTCCATATTTTTGGTGTTGTGAAGTAGCAGACGGTGCAATAGGCAGTAGTACTTAACTGACCTCTGAGCAGCACAGCAGCTGCTGCATACCAGGAGAGAGAGTTGGAGACATGAAGCGACAAGGAGGTTAGCGCTGTGCAAACATACCATCAAGTGTGCTGGATTGGCTCTGCCAAAACGTTTGGTCACCTCACCTGTCCAACTCTCGTTCCCGATAAGCAGCAGCAACTCAGTTGTTGGGAGGTCAGGTGAGTGCTACAGCCCTACCATACTGTCAGCCACTGGTGCTGTGACACCGAAGGCTCTTCATTGAACTGTAATGGAGTGAGCCTCAGATTACCTAGGTACCATCATGCAGTGGCTAAACAGGGATGCAGGGGATCTTTCACGTAACTTAGTCCTGAGTTGTTTAGGGCCTTGTACGCAAGTCTTCAAGCCTTAAACGGGGCCTGGTAGCATACTGGCAACCAGTCCAACTTTCTCAATAGATGTGTTATATGCTGGTGGAAGGCTGTTCCGGTTAGTAGTCTAGCTGCTGCATTCTGCATCAACTGCAGCTTCTGGATCAACCTCAAGGGCAATCCTACATACTGCTCTTTGCAACAATGCAGTCCGTTGGTGCAGCTCATATGGACCATATATATATATATATATATCAATATCTATCAATCAATCAATCAATCAATCAATCACAGCCCACTTTGGGAACCACTAGTATCGCTTCTGCTACCAGTCAGTTCATGGAGAGGTAGCCCACTCAGAAGCTTCACTCCTTGCCACCCAGGAAGAATATCACAGCAGTGATATCACAGCCAACCAATCTGATGAAGTGGACTGTAACCCAGAAAGCTTGTGTATTAATAAATGTGTTAGTCTTCAAAGTGCCACGAAATTCTTTGTTCTTTTTCTTCCAATGGCTACACCTCTAGAAATTAGAAAATTTTTGGTGATTGATAAGAAATGATGATGAATGTATGTATGTGAAATGCTGCAAAATGTTCTAAAGTGCTATTAAAATTATTATAATAGTGATGATTAAGTCATTTAGGCTCATAATTTCCAAACTTTAATTCTAGTTTCTATGATATTCTCCCTGGAAATGCAGGATATTCTTACAAAGATTACATTTAGTTACTTCACCAAAGCAAGATGGCGGTTTAACTAGTTTTCTAACAAAAGCAATTCTTGATCATTCTTACTACATATCAAAGGTTCACCACCCTCATCCCGTAAATCCCTGTCAGCTCTGACAAACGTACCTTGTAGAACTGCGTGGTGAACATAAGGGCAGTGTTAAAACACTTCTCTTGTTCTGAGCAAAATTTATAACATGGCTCTTGGAACTCACTTTTTGCTCCAAACTTCTGATACTCCTGTAATACAGTAATCAGCATGTCAGTAGGCTATTTTTTCTGAATAAAGACAAGGTTGCTGAAATGGTTTAGACACAGACATTCGCATAGCATTGCATAATTCAGAAAGTAGGCCTGGTGCACATGATTTGCATTAATAGCCTGCATAGAGGCAGCTTTTTACAACTCCCTCTCATTAAACTCCATGTGGAGGATTGCAGACTGTCAATCAATTACAGCAATTTCCTTTTCCATATTTATTCCATCACTATCACTGACAGTTACCATTAAGTGACATTAATACAATACAGTAGCATCTTGCTGTTCTCCAGTGCTCTCTTCATGCACGGCATCTTGGGATACTTAATCTCCTAAGAAGGTTAAGAGTGCCTGTTAAAAAGAGGGAGGGGAAAAGGTGACCACTTTCAGTGATGGAGAGTGTTTAAGCTTAGAAAAGAAAGGAGGAGATTCTCCCAAGGTGCTCTGGGAGTGACATTTGTTAGGAAATGGAACGCTCACTTCGGTGTTAATGAGTTGGTAGGAAGAACTGGCTATAAATGTCTTTTAAACACTAGGGATAAGGGCTTTTGAGAAGTGTCGCGGATATCCTTAACTATTAGAATTGTTTGTGGGCAAAGAATAAACATATTCTAAATGGACTCATATTCCAAATGGAGTTATATTATGTAAACAAGTGCCAGAATGAAAAGCAAATGATACTTGTCTTGTATGTATTACTTGATCTTGCTTTGTAAGGATGAGATAATGTTTTCTGTTTCTGAGAAGCATGTAAGTGCAAAGAGAGGTGATTGAAGTGATGAAACATATTTTGCCCTCCTTATCACCTGAGGATCAGGTAACAAGGATACACACACACACACACACACACACACACACACATATACACATATCTACATATATACATACACACAATGTTTCATATGTGTAGACGATTTTAACAAGCAGATTTGGGGGGCTAAGATGGCCTGTAGGGAGAGGTAGTCCCATTGCACAGACAAAAGTCATGGCACTAACAGAATAATTTTGTTGGATACCGCTCGCCATTTTCTTTATGTACAATGATGATTGTAGTGAGATTGTTTATTTTCTGTAAACTACTCTGAGTACAAATGTATCTGTGGGAAACTAAGACTTATTATAGCACATCATTTTTAAACCATTTCCCCCCACTCAGTTTTGAAAATCATGTTAAAATGTGTGCTAAAGGGCTCTTTTAATTTCAGCACTATTTTGCCATTACTTCAATAACTGCAAAAAAGGAAAGGAAAACAACAGAACTATAAATGGAGGAAAAACTAAAATGTGATAAAATGGTTTTTAAAAAGACTAGAAAGGTGGTGGGGTGTTTTTTTTGAAAAAAAATGAGCTTTACAATACATTTTAAAGCAATATTTTAAAAGAAAGTTAAGGCCTATTTAATTCAGATTGCTTTGTAGTGTATAAAATAAAATGTCTTATCTAGGAGTAGCAATAGAATAATGGGCTATATCATCATATACTATTGCAGATTTCCTTACACTGTAACGTTTCACGAATTCCTACGAAAGTGAATTATCCTTGTAAAACCAAATTGTTTCCAAATGTCACTATTTCCAAAAAGGGGAAGGAGAACAAGAATTGCACATTGGGTAGTAAACCAAATAATTGAAAAAGAGAGATGAATATCCAGTACTACAATCATCTCTTTTATATGGCATTTCAATCGGTTGCAATTACAGAATGATTTGGTAACACAGCAAAAGCATATTGGCTTTTAGCAGAACAACAGGATGTTGATAGTCCTTTAATATCATTGCTTTGGCTTAAAAAGGAAAAGGAGCTGGCCTATGCAGCTGGGACAAAGACCCTTCATAGGATCTTTGCTAACAGCATGGGATAGTGTAAAATAAAAGTCTAAGAGCTGGAGACGCACCTTTAAGGTCACTTCTTGGTAAATGAAGTGTTCGATGTATGGAATCTTTTTGGAAATAGAAACATCAAAGTAAATTGTGGGGTGAATGTTGCTTTGCGGTGTTCTGCTGCTAGTGCATTGGTTTCTGCATACTCTGTCTTCTTCTGTCCTTTGCCCCTATGAATGGGGTTTCAAATGTCACACTCCACTCAAATTACAGAACTCTCTTCATGGCCAAGAAACCATTGCAAAGGAGCTAACTCATCAGCACCTGCGACTTCATACTACAATGTCAGCCTCTGCTTCCCCAATTCTCTTAAAATTAGCAGCACAAAATGTTATGAGATACTAGTGCTATAAATCAGAAGGGATACTATGCTAGAGGAGCAGGAAACACATTTTATTTTTTTTCCTATCAAGCGTTTGTGATAGTTAGATGCTAGATTCAGATAGAGGCAGTGTTGTGTAGCAGTTAGAGTGTTGGACTTGGACCTTGGTAGACCAGCCATGAAGGTCACTGGGTGAAATGGAGTCTGTCACTTTCTTTTAGCCTGGCCTACTTCACAGGGTTGTCGTGCACATAAAAGGGGGAGGGGGAGAACTATGTACCCCCCTTTGAGCTCCTTAGAAGAAAGGCAGGATATAAACATAATTAACAACAACAACAACTTGAATGGGGGGACGTTTTGCCCCCTTTTATAATGCTTCCCTTAGCCACTATTTTTAGAAGGCTCCAAGACAGTCATAATTTGGCTAAAACTGGGGGAAATCTAGGGGTGGGTCTTGTGTATTTCATCAAGGGCCCTTTGCATTCCTCCCTCAACAATAGACAATGATAATTTTGTGGCATCTGGTCTAAAGACGTTAAGGAGACAGCAATTTCCATCCCTTCCTGTGTTAGTCGCAATCAGAAATGTTTCCATTCTGCTACATTTTGGCTTCTGCTAAAACCTACGCTATTCGTCTCACTACTTGCTACGACCTAAATTAATGCAATTAATGATGCTATTAATTCCACAAGTAATTTCAGTACAGGGGGAACATAAAAAACAACAGGGAAAGTAATGTAATTGTTTATGTTACATTTGTGAACAAAAGAAGATGACAGCAAACAGTGTTCATGTCCACTGGCCTGATTTCTGACCAGTATGCAGAGTGTAGCAACTTATTCTCCCATTTTTAATTTCTAATTGAATTCTCCATCACCCCCAATCTGGGCATACCCACTCTGTGGATTTGGCTCTCCTAGAGATTTGCTTTGACATTTTCCTCTGTGATACCCTGACCTTCCTGTCTTGCCTGTTGAGTTGATATAACAAAAGCACTTTGCAATCACAAACTCATCATTAAATGCTGCATTAGCACTTTCTGCTGTTGCCCACGGGCTTAACTTCTCATCTTCTCTGGCCTTACTGACTTCTCCGCTGCTTCTTGTATCTCTATCTTTCTTCCTAGGTCAGGCGCTTTTCCAGACATCCTTTCCCCTCTTTCTTTGATATATGTCATAGTCCAAGCAGTATCGGTTGCTTGCCAGCACTATGTCCTTCTCAGAGAGTCTCCTAAAAGTTATTGCTGCCAAACAGAACGGATGTCTTCTTTCTCCTACTGCACTGCTTGTCATTTATGGGCAACAGTTCAATGATCTCTCCCCTTTTTTGTTCACTGAACTCATTTAAAATCCAAACAATTTCGGCTGTCAAGTTGCCTGTTTGTGACTGTTCCTCTGTTTACTCAGCATCACCCCCACCCCCCAAACTGTTCCCTGTCACTGTTCATCCTCTGAGTTGTCAGTGCTTACCCTTATGCTTCTAGGTTTTTAAATCAGTTTGTGTACAAATCTTTATCCACATTTTAAAGCCTATGTGTATTCCTCATTTCATAAATGAAGGCTGCAGTTCTATGCACTCCTATGCTTAACGCAGAAAATATCCTGTGCATGCTAATCTGGGAGTAAGCACCATTTAAGACAAGGGACTTCTTTGGAAACAAATGTGCCTAGGATAAAATTGGAAATCACATATTGCTGCTGGACCTTTGATCTTGAGAAGGGAGGTTCTTATTTAGATACAGAATCAGCCTCTTATCTCATTTTGTTGGAGCTATTTCCAAGAGTAACAGATATAAATAAATAAAGAACTAAAGCTACGCCTGAAATAAGATGTATTTTATTTTTTGCATGTGCATTGATGTTTGATTATAAAGCTTTGGAGGGGCAGGTAATGTTGCCATTTCAAAGTTCTGCACAGCGTTAGCCTTAGGGGTGTTTCACACAATACTATTTCTCTGTATAAAGATAATGTAGGAAACATATGTAGGGAAATGTGTTTACCATAATGTGTGAAGTGTGGCATAATTGGTTTTCATGCTGTAAGAACATGGACCAGGCATCCACTGAAGGCAATGGCTGCCTGACCCATTTGCTCAAACAGCACAGGAAACACACCTCTCTTCACACATTTATGCTAAGCACATTTTCGCTCATGGAGATTATCTTTGTGTAGGGAAATGGTAATCTGTGAAACAGCTCCTTAGAATAGTATGTCACCCGTGACCGTGACCGCAGAATGGTGTAGGGACTTCCCTCTGTAAAATGCTTATCGCCCTTTAAAACAAATTTGCAAGCCACAGCCTATTTACTCCCATTTGAAGGGGAAAGTGAAGAGTGCAATGCACTTTAGTTTCAAAGAAAGAAACTGCCCTAGACTGGCTAAAAAGAGAAGAGGCGATTCCCCATTGTATACAGCTACAAGTCTAAAGGGTAAGAGAGCAGAAGGTGCTCAAACGCATGAATGGTTAGCAAAGAATGGCATATCTATACGGTAACTGTAGCAAGAACTGCAAAATACAATTAACCTTGTTGAAACCCAGCATCACTTCTTGTATCTACCACCTCTCCTTAGAGCAGCCAGCATTTTCCTAAGACCTTCCTATCTGGTACTGGGCAAGAGCTATTGCTAGCTAGTTAAGCTGTCAGAGCTGATGATGTGATTGTTGTTGTTTGTACCTGCCTACCAAAGTGATTTGTAACATCTAATTAACAATGGGAGGGGATATTTTGCAGTATGTTTTAGAAGGCTGTTAGCAAGGGACACACTTGCTGTTGCTGTTTACAAAGTACTATCCATATACAGTGGTACCTCGGGTTAAGTACTTAATTCGTTCCGGAGGTCTGTTCTTAACCTGAAGACCACTTTAGCTAATGGGGCCTCCTGCTGCTGCTGCACCGCCGGAGCACAATTTCTGTTCTCATCCTGAAGCAAAGTTCTTAACCTGAAGCACTATTTCTGGGTTAGCGGAGTCTGTAACCTGAAGCGTATGTAACCTGAAGTGTATGTAACCCGAGGTACCACTGTACTTGGAGCTCTGCAGGAGCATCATATGGAAGAACTAGAAGCCACTGGCTCATGGAGTGAATATTTTAAAGGGCAGTGGGGGAATAAGGTGCTGCTGCTTTGTGTAAATGTCCTTTATCTCCCTTCCTGGACTGATCGCCAGCCTTTTGCCCCTTGCTCTCCTTTCTTCCTGTGCTTGAGGTTGGGTGTTGACTGCTCTGCCTGCTGTAGGCCTCGCCCACGCCTCAGATGAAAGGGAAAATCAGAAGGTAGCTATTACACATTTGCAAGGAAGGAAACAAAGACCCGCAACGCTGACACCCTCCCACTAACTTTGGGTTTTAATGGTGGGCTTAATTTCCTCATGAAAGGGAAAAACAAAACGGAAACAGCCTTGCAGTGGATAGAGGGGGCAGTGGGGAAACGGCAGCTGTTGTATTCATGGTTAATCAGGTGTGTCTGCCTTTATGTAGCATCTGTCTGCTACTGTTACGGTGCCACATGTGAAAAGGGACGGGAGGAAGAGAGGCATTCATGTTCAAAGCCTTAAGCACTGACCTCTGTCTCTGTCTCCTCAGGGTTCGGGCGCTCGTCTATTCATCTTGGCCTATTAATGTAAGATTGCAATTCTGTTCTATCAGGCCGTCCTTGTAACCATCTTGATTGGATGTTGTTAAGATTGCCATAAAATCGAGTCCTTACCACGCCGGTTTCCATTTTGTTTCACAAATGACCTTTACAAGTAGGTTTCCAGTGAAAGAAATGGCCATATTTCCTCGCCAAAGAACTCGACAAGGAAAGGTTTTCAGGGAAGGAGTCCAAAACCAATTATCCATTCCAACTTAAGTTGATTTTGGACTGCCGAAGGAATCCCCCAAGAGAGGAATAAGCAGGGCCCGTATAAGCACCTAGCTGCCAATTTTAAGAGTCAGTCTAGTTTATTGCCCTGTTATCCATTCCACACTTTGGTAATATTTCTCTGGTAAATTTCTTTTTGATACTGCGCAGTGGAGGAAATAAATTATTATTTGCTTTAAAAATTGAATTTTCCCTACAGGATGACACTGTTTTTCTAAATATATTTCAGTCTGGCTTCTGGGGCAGGTTTGGGATAGAAATGGTTTTGGTTGCCCTGGTGAATGAGCTGTAATAGGAGAGCAACAAGAACAGGGTGTCCCTGTGGATTGTCCTGGACTTCCCAGCAGCATTCCATATAACTGAACAAAGAATTTTTCAGGGTTGGGTGTTAGGGACCCTTCTCTCGGTACCTCTGCATGCTAAGGCTTACCAGTTGGTTACTGGAGGAAGACCCTTATAAGTGATGGTGCTCATAATTTTCAAGTGATGGTACTCCCTTCCCAGGCTTGTCTGCCTAGTGTTTCTGTTACAAAACTGCCAGCAAACTTGAGTTTTTCCATTACATTTGATTACCTTTTATGATATCTGGTTTCCCCATTTAAATTGGATGATAATATTAACCCTTTTAAAAAAAAATGCAGCCTACTATTATATTTGATTTTATATACTGTTTTTGCTGTTTTTGTAATATATAATGTTAATTGGTTTTGTTAGCCACCATGAAGCTTATGTGGGAAGGCAGGATATCAATTCCTAAGGCTGCAATCGTAGACCCACTTTACTTGGAAGTAAACCCCATTGAACTCAATGGGACCTGCTGTTGGGTGGGCATGTATCAGATTGCACTGTCCGTATATTAATAAAATAACCATTACGTTAAGTATGCTGTAGTCAAACTGAGGGCTTTCCATTACTTTAAGTATCTGAAATAATTATACTGTACTGTTTAAAATGACTGCCCATCTAGTTCCTTGTTGCTGGAGTTGTTGCTTCGCCGTCGTGCTGATGAGTGTTTCTGAAATTGCTGTGTCTTTGTCCCGTGCACCCAGCAGCAACGCCAAATTGAAACTCTTTCTGATAAAACCCTGTTATGCTCTGTGCTATATAAATCAACAGCAGTGTTGACACTTGGTTGGCATTGTCAGAAGGGAAACAGGTTAGTGCCAGGATGATGCATTTGGCAGAGGCGATGAGCAGCTTCTACCTCCACAGCCGTTGGAGCACTTCCTCTGCAGCACAGTCCTGTAATTAGAATGAATGGCAGAGTAAACATATGGGAAAGGGTAGGAGGGTACCACAATGACCTCTGTATGTGTCTGAAACTGGGAACAGCCCTGGCTCGATGCAGAATTGGACTGAGATGGAAATACAGTGTAGCCCTGTCAAAACACCTCCTTGTGCCCTGCTAAATCTGGTGCTTTTCTGAGGCTCTGCCATATTACAGTGTGTTAGGCCACTGTGGCAAACTGAAATTAGGCTGCACGCAGAATAGCCCAGACTAATTTAATGGGGGCCTTGAAGCAACAATGAATTCTGGTCATGAGACATGTTAGCCAGACTTCCGCCAAAGTCTGCGGAAGCTCACACAACACGTTCAGAAGCAGCCAGAGGGAATAATGAACAGTAATTAGGGATGGGTTGCGGTGATACCTCCTACCAGTTGCCTTTCCTGGTGGCGAACACCACCAAAGGCAAGGCATAGCCATCAGCTATTTTTGTGAGGGCCTTCCTGGAACTGGGTGTTAGCATAGTTACATTCTGGGAAGCTCTTGGCTTGCACTCAGTACTTAATTTCTAAAGTTAAAGGTGCCGTGCCTCAAGTCTGCCTGCAAGTCTCATCCTCTGACCTGTCTGCTCATCAAATATGCATGGGGACTGTCTGTGTTTACTCCTTTGTGAAAATAAAGGCACGATGTAAATGTTCTCCTCCTGTTTCTTGCAGGGCTGAAACCTGGTCTGAGCCCCAGGGAGCTCAAATTGATGGCAATTTGATTTCTATCCAGGGCAGCTTACATTATATTAGGGCTCCTTCTATACCCTCCAACTCAAAACATTACTCTAGGGCAGTGGTTTACAACCAGTGTGCCATGGCACCTTGGGGTACCTTGAAGGATGGTCAGGGGTGCCACAGGCAACTCTAGCCTCTGTCCCTCTTTCTTTCCCTCCCTCCTCTGATGCCTTCTTGCATCTTTGCCTCCCAAAGGCTTGTGAGGCTGTTTGTTGCAGTGGCCCTGACCACAATCTAGAATCATAGAATCATAGAATCATAGAGTTGGAAGAGACCACAAGGGCCATCGAGTCCAACCCCCTGCCAAGCAGGAAACACCATCAGAGCACTCCTGACATATGGTTGTCAAGCCTCTGCTTAAAGACCTCCAAAGAAGGAGACTCCACCACACTCCTTGGCAGCAAATTCCACTGTCGAACAGCTCTTACTGTCAGGAAGTTCTTCCTAATGTTTAGGTGGAATCTTCTTTCTTGTAGTTTGGATCCATTGCTCCATGTCCGCTTCTCTGGAGCAGCAGAAAACAACCTTTCTCCCTCCTCTATGTGACATCCTTTTATATATTTGAACATGGCTATCATATCACCCCTTAACCTCCTCTTCTCCAGGATAAACATGCCCAGCTCCCTTAGCCGTTCCTCATAAGGCATCGTTTCCAGGCCTTTGACCATTTTGGTTGCCCTTCTCTGGACACGTTCCAGTTTGTCAGTGTCCTTCTTGAACTGTGGTGCCCAGAACTGGACACAGTACTCCAGGTGAGGTCTGACCAGAGCAGAATACAGTGGCACTATTACTTCCCTTGATCTAGATGCTATACTCCTATTGATGCAGCCCAGAATTGCATTGGCTTTTTTAGCTGCCGCGTCACACTGTTGGCTCATGTCAAGTCTGTGGTCAACCAAGACTCCTAGATCCTTTTCACTTGTACTGCTCTCAAGCCAGGTGTCACCCATCTTGTATTTGTGCCTCTCATTTTGTTTGCCCAAGTGCAATACTTTACATTTCTCCCTGTTAAAATTCATCTTGTTTGATTTGGCACAGTTCTCTAATCTGTCAAGGTCGTTTTAAAGTGTGATCCTGTCCTCTGGGGTGTTAGCCACCCCTCCCAGTTTGGTGTCATCTGCAAATTTGATCAGGATGCCCTTGAGTCCATCATCCAAGTCGTTGATAAAGATGTTGAATAACACCAGGCCCAAGACAGAACCCTGTGGCACCCCACTAGTCACTCTTCTCCAGGATGAAGAGGAACCATTGATGAGCACCCTTTGGGTTCGGTCAGTCAGCCAGTTACAAATCCACTGAGTGGTAGTATAGTCAAGACTGCATTTTACCAGCTTCTTTACAAGAATATCATGGGGCACCTTGTCAAATGCCTTGCTGAAATCAAGGTAGGCTACATCCACTGCATTCCTTTCATCTACCAGGCTTGTAATTCTGTCAAAAAAACGAGATCAGGTTAGTCTGACATGACTTATTTTTCAGAAATCCATGCTGACTATTGGTGATCACAGCATTCCTTTCTAGGTGCTCACAGACTGTTTGCTTAATGATGTGCTCCAGAATCTTCCCTGGTATTGATGTCAGACTGACTGGGCGGTAATTATTTGGGTCCTCTCTTTTCCCCTTTTTGAAAATAGGGACAACATTTGCCCTCCTCCAGTCTGCCGGGACTTCGCCTGTTCTCCAGGAATTCTCAAAGATGACTGCCAGTGGTTCTGAGATCACATCTGCTAGTTCTTTTAATACTCTTGGATGCAGTTCATCTGGCCCTGGAGACTTGAATACATCTAAACTAGCCAAGTATTCTTGTACTATCTCCTTAGTTATTCTGGGCTGTGTTTCCTCTGCTGAATGGCGCCTCTGGGGCTGGCCAGGGGGTGCTGGTTGCAAGGAGCTGAGGTGGCCTTGGAATAGGCAAGCAAGTGGGTGAGGGAGCCCAGCCAGCCAGTCCACCAGCCTTTGCTGTTGGGAATGGACAGACAAATGGGAGGCCGGGCAGGCAGGCAGACAGGCACCACACTGGTCTTTTCTTGTGCTTTCTGTGTGCGATGCCTGCCTGCCCAGCATCAAAGTGGAGCCTTTCCACCATGCAGGTCCGGTGGCTGCCACTGTTGCTTCCTAAGGTGAGTAAGGTGCTAGCCTCACGTTCACCTTTGGTTGCTAAGGCTGGAGGCATCCTCTTCCCAGGCACCTGTGGAGCACTGTGAGGAGGCACCTCTCTTGGCTCAGAGACCAGAGGTTGTGGCAGTGGCTGCCCGGAGGACTCCCAAGGGGAAAAGAGGGGAGAGGAGGCTGAGGGAACACTCCACAAGCGAGGGTGTTCGAAAAGGGGTGAGGGGCTGCTGGCTCTGCAGGTGAGGGATGCAGGCGCTTCCATCCTGAGGTCGGTAGCGCCTTTCCCCACAGGGGAGCTGCAGAAAGAATATAGTTGATCAAGGGAGCCATGGACTAGAAAAGGTTGAAAACCTCTGCTCTGGGGTATGCTATCTCCTTGGCCACACCAGCTCAGTTCTCATTCGGTCATTGTGGCTGTTCTCAATGCTTTCGATCCATCTTACTTCCCCATCCTTTGACAATTCCCCAACATTTGGCAATCTTCCTACCAAGACTGTCCAGTGGCACAAAGAGGAGCCAAATGCTGTGCTTGAATAGCTGTTGGGTGGTTGCTCTTTTAACACTCTTTTGGTATAGGCCTCCTCCAGATGGCTTGTTTACTAAGCAGTCATCCTGATTTGCTCACACAAAGCTTACACAGAAGTTAGATTATATCTGGTCTTCCTTGAATTTCCTTCTGCTCTGTTTGCATTCATCCTGATTTGCTTGCGGGGTGTTTATATGTTTTCCTGTTAATCACTCATTCATTCTACAGTTTTCAATACACCTCCCTGTTACTTTCCTAATTGTGAAACATCTGCTTTAAAATATGTCTTTTTAAAAGTGGATTTGTTGTACTAGGGTAACGGAGTGCTTTAATCCACTTTGCTTGTACAAACCTAAATTTCCCATTGTGTCCTCACAAAATACTGTCAGTCTGGTGGTGGTGCCCTTGTTGTGTGACCCATCAACCTGACTGCAGGTCACCAAGCAAGCAAAAAGGAGGCTTACTAAGCAGGGAGGATCACAAGTTGTGTGTGCAAGCCTGTTAAGGTGTGGTTTCTCTCTCTCTTTTTAATGAAGATAAACGGCATGCTAATTTGCTCAGATTTTATCTTCTTAGAAATAAGTGTTGGAACAAAGGTTAGTAGGCATGTACTGTTGTGAAAGGATATAGCATCGTTTGGAAATAGCCATGAAATGTGTCCTCTGGAAAAGTTGAATATGTATTCTAATCAGAACTGGGAATGGCTGGAGTATGGGCTTCTCTTTCGACTCTTTCATGATCTGAGCTTTTGCAATTTTCTCTGATCTGACTATGAGAGTGACAACTGACAGGAAGACATTCATAAGCCTGTGGTTGCTTGTGACATCCATAATACAAAAAGACAGATTTCTGCCATGAACAATATTACTTGGGGGTGGTTGTGTGTTTTAACTGTCATATAATAAGAAATTAAATATCTCGGATATGATTTAAACCTTTTGCAATTTCAGGCAATAACACTTTGCCTTTTCCTATTTTGTTTTGGATGCATTATAATGTCTAGTTACTAGGGAGTAAGCACCCATTGATTTTAGTAGGAGCGATTTCTGAGCAAACATATATGGACTGTATTTAAGAGACTTTCCTCATTGCAGTTAGTTTTGCAGAAAAGAGCAGCCAAAATGATCAAGGGGCTGGAACGTCTCTCTGAGGAAAGGTTACAACATTTGAGAGCTTTTTTTGTTTAGAAAAACGGTGTGTAAGGAAATGTGATAGAGTGTATACAATTATGCAGGGCAGGGTATGGAGAAAATGAACACCACTCTCATAATTCTAGTAATAATAATAATAATAATAATAATAATATTTTTTTTATTTATACCCCGCCCTCCCCAGCCAAGGCCGGGCTCAGAGCGGCTTACAAGCAATAATAAAAACAAGATGAATGATTACAACTTAAAAACAAAAATAAAATACAACATTAAAATAATGGAACATTAAAATATTAAAATGTAGCCTCATCGCAGGAGGAGAAGGAAAAGAAAAAAGAAAGAGAGGGAGGGAGGGAATCAAATTGGCTCCAAGCCATAGGCCAGGTGGAACAACTCTGTTTTACAGGCCCTGCGGAAAGAAATCAGATCCTGCAGGGCCCTGGTCTCATGAGGCAGAGCGTTCCACCAGGCCGGAGCCAGAGTTGAAAAGGCCCTGGCTCTGGTTGAAGCCAATCTAACTTCCTTAGGGCCTGGGACCACTAGGGTGTTGCTATTTATGGACCTTGAGGCTCTCCGTGGGGCATACCAGGAGAGGCGGTCCCGTAGGTACGAGGGTCCTAGGCCGTGAAGGGCTTTAAAGGTCAAAAGCAGCACCTTAAATCTGACCCTGTACTCCACTGGAAGCCAGTGCAGCTTGAAAAGCACTGGGTGAATATGCTCCCATGGCAGAGACTCCGTGAGGAGCCTCGCTGCAGCATTCTGTACCCGCTGGAGTTTCTGGGACAGCTTCAAGGGCAGCCCCGCATAGAGCGAATTACAGTAGTCAAGCCTGGAGATGACCGTCACATGGATCACTGTGGCCAGGTCGGGGTGGGAAAGGTAAGGGACCAACTGCTTGATGCGGCGAAGGTGGAAAAATATCACCTTGGCTGTTGCTGTAACTTGCGCCTCCATGGAAAGGGAGGCGTCAAGGATTACACCCAAACTCTTAACGGAAGGCAATGGCACTAATTGGGCCCCCGCAAGAGAAGGGAGTTGGTCCCTCATCCCCATGCCATCCCGACCTAGCCATAGGACCTCTGTCTTCGAAGGATTTAGTTTCAATCGGCTCCCACGAAACCATCCAGCCACAGCTTCCAAGCATCTGGTCAGTGTGTTCGGGAACATCCAATACCTGTACCTGGTACAGTACCTGGGAACATCCAATGAAGCTGAGTGGTAGAAGTTTAGGAAGGACAAAGCCACATAGTTGACGTGTGGAATTCATTGCCACAACCTGTGGTGATGGCCACCAACTTAGACAGCATTAAAAGGGGCTGCTTACTACCTTCAGGTTCAGAGCCTCTGAAAACCAGTCATTGGGGTGTTATAGTGGGAGAGGACTATATTGCCCTAATGTCCAGTTTGGGGCAT